ACAGACTGATTCGGTCTGAGTCTTTGGAGCTTAGGGACGGTCGTCGTCCGCCTCTCTTAGAATCTCTTTGGTCTTCACCACCGGAATGCCCCTCCGGTGGAATCTCTCCACCGGTCTTTTGATTCCCAAAGGCTCATCTGCATCCACGGACGGTTGGAGGCTGGATTAAACGCTTTGGTTTTACAAACAAACGAAATTTGGTAAGTCATGGTTTTTTTGTTAAATTCTCTTTCTTTTACACTGCTTCCCTGCTTTGGTTACTTACAGTGGCTCGTCGAAACCCTTGCTATTCCTTTTCTTTCGGGAATTCTAAACCAAAAGCACTTAAATCAACTCTTTTTGTATACTGAGCTAGACCAAAATCACTTCAGAAGATCAGATCAAGGAAATAATCGATAATCAATTATTTCTCCTCCTCCTCCTGCCCAATCCCCTTCAAATTTACACGGCTCTAATTCGTTGTCGGTTTTGTTGAGACTTATTTGGTTAATGAATTGAATAATACAATTTTGTGTGTGTGTGTGTTTTCTTTAGTTTTGAATTACTTTTTTTCTTGTGATCACAACATGTATGTTATCTGTTAGATTAAATTTGGTACTATGGTTGATTTGTGCCTATATTTGAAGTTACGCTACCCCCCCTTTAGTCCTCCTTGTATCATTAATCTGTACTTGTACTAGATGCCATATGGAGGCTTAGCCTTTTGAAGCTTCTTTAACCCCATGACGAAGTGGAAATACATCATCATCAACATGAATCCTGTTTGGCCATTCTGTTCTGTTTAGTGCCATATCTAAAGAAGCCTTGCTCCTCTAAGATTTGGTGTATCTCTCTTAGAGTCATTTGAATTTGATACTGAAGATGGATAGATAGTATAATCAAATGGTTTGCTTTCTTTTTAAGAGAAGAAAAAAGAAAGATGTTTTAGTTAACTTTTATACAATACATTCTAAGTCTGATTTGACATTGAAGGGGGCAATGGATGGTGGAGACCCTAGTATCTCAGGTAGTCCACATGAAGATGATATGGAGGTCGGACTTCCATCAGCACCTAGGTTTGACATCGACTTGGAGGAGGAATGCCAGAGCACAGAACTTGCTCATCTTGAGGTAGTAGCCGAGTCCAATAGGCCTGTGAAGGACAAGACCAAGGGAAGTGACGGGGTACCAGAAATCGATATGGAGTTTGAATCTGAAGAGCGTGCCTATAATTTTTACAACAAATATGGTGGAAAGGTTGGTTTCAGTATTCGAAGAAGCTGGGCAAACAAATGCAAAGATGGTGTTGTGCGGCGTAGGTTGTTTTGCTGCTCAAGACAAGGTCATCGCAGTCATGATAAACGAGATGTGAAAAATCATCGTCCAGAAACAAGAACTGGCTGTTTGGCACACATGGTTATTGCACTCCAACCAAATGGTAGATATCGTGTCTGCCAATTTGAACCAAACCACAATCATGACGTTGGAAAGCCCTCAAAATCTCGCATGTTAAGGTCACAAAAGGCATCAGCTGCTGCTCAGGCTGCTGAAACTGATATATCAGATAGTACAGGATGGGGCTTGGGAAGATTAATATGCATACAGATGTCCATAAGAGCAGCTATTGAGCTCGATGTCTTCAATATAATTGCTGAAGCTGGACCTGGAGCACAATTATCATCATCAGAGATGGTTACCAAGATGCCTACAACAAATCCGAATGCAGCTACTGCTTTGGACCGTATACTCAGGATGCTTGGTGCAAACTGCATCCTATCCATGTCTATGAGACCATGCAATGAAGGGGAGAAGAAACATGAAAGGGTATATGGATTGACAAGCAAGTCACGCAGTCTAGTTACCACAAATGGAGAAGGAGCTTCGGTAGCACCAATAGTGCTAGCTAGCTCTGAAAAGGCAGTCATAGAGAGTCTATATCTGCTTAAAGATGCTGTACTTGAACAGGGATGTATACCATTCAACAAGGCTCACGGTTTGAGTTTCTTGGAGTATGCAGCCAAAGAGCCAGGAATGAAGGCAGTGTTTGATCAAGCCCTAGGGACTAGGTCAGCGATCTTCTTCCATGAGGTGTTGAAGGTGTACAAGGGTTTCAATGATATCAGAGAGTTGGTGGATGTTGGAGGAGGCACTGGAAGCTTGCTTGGTATGATTGTCTCTAGGTTTCCACATATTCGGGGTATCAATTTTGAGTTACCACATGTTATTGCTGATGCTCCTAAATTCCCAGGTTGCTCTCTCTCTCTCTCTCTCTCTCTCTCTCCAACAACTCTCTCTCTCTAACATATCATTTTCCCAGGTGTAGAGCATGTTGCAGGAGACATGTTTGAACAGGTACCAATAGCACAAGCTATTCTGTTGAAGGTATGTTTTCTGATTGGTCCTGTCCAATGATTATAGTTTTGACCTGTAGAAGTTTGTGGCATAGAGAAATGCTGAAATGGAGAATATTAAGAGAAGAATGGGTATGGGTTGGATCTGGACACTCTAGAAACAAAAAATGAAATGACAACTAATTTGGAAGTTGATATTTCATGGTTGCAGTGGATCCTTCATGACTGGGATGATGCCCGATGCACCAGGTTGCTAAAAAATTGCTGGGAGGCATTGCCTAATGGGGGGAAGGTGATCGTTGTGGAGTTCGCTCTCCCTCCGGTGCTGGGAAACAATGTTGAGTCTTTGAATGCATTGACCCCAGACCTCTTCGGGATGGTATTGAATCCTGGTGGTAAGGAGCGAACTATAGCAGAATACACCGACCTGGCAAAGGCTGCAGGGTTTTCTGAAATCAAGCTTTGCCCAATATCACAAGGCCTACTTGTCATGGAGTTGTACAAGAAGAATGGTGGACCCAGGCCCCTCTTACCACGCCCCACACTTCTCATACCACATTTCATTCTAAATGGGGCACCAACAACACTTCAGTAGTACTGTCTTACAACCGACCAGTTTATCCATTACAATTAAGAAAAAAGCGGGTAATTCGAGAACTGAAGATGCTAATAGCATGTCAGGAAAGCGATCAAATGCCATTACAATTAAACATGTGCAGTCTTAACCCGGAAGACAGTCAGGACAGGAAAAACCAGCTGGGACAGGAGGCGGCAACCGTCACTGACACTCCATGTTTTTACTATTCTGACAGGAAGGAAAAAAGGTAATGCATTGCAAACACGATGCCTCATGCGCAGCTTCAGAGAGCAGTTTTACCTTGGCTAGCTTGCACTTGCACATAAGAGGTGGTGCTTGAATTATCAATCAGACCATACAAAAGTTGCCCAAGTCATCGAATTGATCATTTACCTACTGATTAAGAAGGAACCCAGAAACCATGAATCAGGAAGAAATTCAACGAGGGTATTGATGAACTTGAGAGAGACTCAAACTCATGCCTGAACTCACTCATTGCTGTGTATAAAACAGTCTCCGACGGTTCACATCTGATTTAAAGTGGCCATGCTATAAGAGAGAACTTCCACTGCATGCGCATGCGCTGTGGTGCCTGGTTGATCTATGTTTATCATCAAAGTGTTAGCACACATGACACCTCCCTGGATTGGAGGTAAAGTGAGAAGATCTTTTTAACAAATATTGGCGCATGAACAACAAGAATTGCATTGGTAGTGGTACCATGACCATCATTCGGGTTGTTGAAATTGTCTATATTGGTTACGTGTTGCACCTGCTGTGATCTGAATTAAAGAGTGGAAACTCTACAGTGTCAACAATGAACTTAGATATACAAAAGAATACTTTTGTTTGCTTGGATTGGCATTAAGAAGTTTTAACATGGAGAAAGTGACGGGATCACCTTGGACCTGCAACAAACAAGACGTGTGCAACTGGCTACGAAGCTCAATCAGGATTTTACAGCTAGTAGATCCCATGTGATAGTTGTTTTTTATTAAAGAAGAAATCCCAGCCCCATAACATTTCGGACGATCTTCGCCGTAGGGGTGTCAATTGGACTGGATTTGGTCCAATCCTATCCAGTCCAATGTGAGCCTATTATAAATGGACTAGGTTCAATTATTTTGGACCAGTCCAATTGACACCCCTACGGCGAAGATCGTCCGAAATGTTATGGTATCTTATATTAGTATGGACCATATATTGGCTTAATCCAACCCAATCCAATATAAATTTATTATGGATGGATCAAGTTCAATCCAATCTAATACATATTTTGAATCAAATTAGTCCAATCCAATGTCTTAGTGGTCCATCCAAATTGATTTTGGACTGGACCGAGTCCAATCCAAAACCGGTCCATTGACACCCTTTCTTGGCCGTATTAACAAGAAAATATTGAACCAATGTTTGGATTATTTAAAATGGTGGTTAAGTATGGTGATTTGAATCAAATATCAGAAGCCTTCCCTGTCGTTATAAAACCGGGTAGTTTTTATGTAGACAATCAAATATCCGGACTCATATCAGAGGCTTTTATATGAGTTCGGATTTCCTACACATTCATCCTTACACATCTTGTACATCAAATTAGAGGGTGCCATGTCAGCACCCTCTCATGCACGAGTCTAGCATGTGCGAGTGATATTAATACAGACGTTTCAAACCTCCTCCCGTTACATTTTTTATATATATTAAAACGACAGTAAATTTTAAATCAAATAAAAAACAGGGGTTAAGGATTTATTCTTCTCTCTTTCCTCAAATATTCTCCAACTAACTGAATAACCCTATCAAAAAGAAAAACAGGGGACGAATTCAAAAAAAAAATATTGAAACGATCAGCTATAGCTTATTTGAGTTGCAAAACTTTTTTATTGTGAAAATCATTGATTGTTGAGTCTGATTAACAAAAAACTATAGGAGGTGATAATGCCCTGTATTTTCAAAATTTCATTGCCAATCTACTTATTATTGAAATCTAGAGAAGATCAGTTCAATACCTTGAACATTGACTCAGGTGGAGTTTCGTCGATATTTAACAAAATTGAGCAAACGAAGTGATATCTTTAGTGTTATCCCCTGTTTTTCTTTCTGGTAGAGTTATTCAGTTAGTTGTAAAAAGATTTGAGGAAAGAGGAGAAGAATAAATCCTTAACCCCTGTTTTTTATTTGATTTAAAATTTACTGTCATTTTTAATATATAAAAATTGTAACGGGAGGAGGTTTGAAACGTCTGTGTTAATATCACTCGCACATGCTAGATTCACGCATGAGAGGGTGCTAACATGGCACCCTCTGATTTGATGTACAGGAAGATTTCACTTGCTTGAGCAATTGTGTTATTGATCGACGACCATTTTGAAGCCCATTGAATGCTGGGCCCAGAAAGTCATGCATATGTGCGTTGAATCTAGATTTCAACCATTCAACCGGGGATAGTGAATCATGATCCTCCAGTCCTAGAGATTTTCCAGATTAGAAGACTCCATTATCTCATTCAGATGAGATCGAATCATCTGCTCTTTCTAGGCATTCCAATCCACCCTGTCTAGGTCTAGCAACTCTAGTAAAATCAAATATATGTTACAGTTGGTTCCAGCCATGGTTTTCAAAACCGGACTGGACCAGACAGTCAGACCAAAAAAAATAGAACCAGTTCCGTTTTTCCCAGAAACAGGATTTCCCCCCAAAACCATTGATTTTGGTCAGTGAACCGCAGAACCAGGCAGTTAACCATTCGAACGATTTTAACCATTTTTTATTTTTTTGTCAAAACAGGCCGAGCGTTCAGTTTGAACAGTCGGATCATTCGACCCGGTAACTGGACCCCTGACCGATTCAGTCACCGGGTCGGTTTTAAAAACCATGGTTCCAGCAGTACAAGCTTGTTTATATGCCACCACAAAAATTTCCAACTTATCGCCTGCTCATTGGTTATAATACCAGGCAACATAGGCATGCCAAATCAAAACAGTGTCTAGTAACAGAGCTCAGCCACGTTGGCCTTGAAAAATTGGGCTTCAATTACATGAAATTACAACCAATTTGACCATAACCATCAAAATATCATCCTTCATAAGTTACATCCTAAATCCCCAGGAGGAAATGAAAATAAGAAAATTCCCCTATGAATTGACTGGCTTACCATTTAATTTGGGGAAAGGATCTTGCTTGCTGAGGACAACCACTTTACTCTTGTGAGCGAAGTACCCCTTGACAAGGTTCTTATATATTAGAATGGCCATTATACATTCCACCTGCAAAAATTTTTTTAAATACCATAATTATTAATCTAAGTATTGAATGGAACATCATCACAAAGTGGTAAAAAAAAACCGAAAAATATTCAACGTCACAAATGGTTCGGCAAATATAGGAATCTAAATGGAAAAAACAGATAAAGTAGCATGCAAATGCAAGTACCTCATCTACATCCATGTTCATCTCGAGCCATTTCAAGGCTTTAACAATAACTTCCAATTTCACCTGGTGTGCTTTGCTGGGGTCTTTCTGCTTTTGGATTATGTAGCTGCAAGAGAAGTACCGAGTTGTGATGAAAGCTTTTTTTTGGGGGGTTATTTTGACTCACATCAGGATGCATGACAGTTCTAAAAACCCTCTAGATACTTACATCTTCTTTACCAGCCTTTGATAAACTTGGAGCTCTAATTTCTCCAGGACAAGATATACACCCGATCTCAAGAATCTGAAAGACACAGGGCTCAAGAAAGGAACTTCTTGACCATTAATTACTGAGAATGTACAAAAGCAATGGGTAACTATACCGATCTTCATGCTCTTGGAGAGCATGTCGAAGAAGCCGGAGATCACCTCTTCTTAATGCTTGCACCACATTATTATACTGCAAAATAACACAATCAGTCACTTTCTATAAAAAAAAATGAAAGAGGAATAGATTGCAGTATCTCATAGGAAATAACAAGGCTGCTTTCCAAAATAAAAGTTTGCATTGACAATGGGAAAGAAGAAAGTGACAAAAAATAAAAGAATAAACAGACCACCGCCAGGTTCCATCTCTAACATTCATATTTATGTTTAGGGGTTTTATAATCTGTTGACAAGGCCACTTCAGGGTGATTTAATCTTTTTTATTATTTTAGTATGCCTTATTGGGACCAATGGCCCTCTTTTATTGTTTCTTTATTGCTGCCGCCCTACCAAGAAACTGTTGTAATTCTTTCATTCGTTAAAGCATAAGTGGGGATTCTCTTGAACCCCACGGTCTGTTCTGCTATTTCTCACCCAGTTTTCTTCTCTCCTCCATTCTCTCTCGTCTCTCATTTCTCCTTGCTCCTAACTATTTATTTATGTTTTATTGTGAATTAAATCAAGTTCTGTGCTGCTGAAAAGCCTACTCAATCCTTGATTCAGTAAAAAGGGTTTGATGAATTAATTTTCAACCAAAGAGGTCTGAACTATAGATAATTGAAGGAACTCTCAAGTAACAGGTGTCATGAAAACTTCAATTGGCAGCCTACGAAGTTATGGAAAAGCATTGTTCTCCATTTTTATTCATGGACAAATTTCAGCCTAATGAAGGTACCAACTGACTCAGCAAGTAATATCAGTTGATTTAGTTCCACTGACCTTGACACTAAATCCCCTTCATCCTTCCCATCCTCAGCTCCAAGAAGAAAAAAGGTTCAATCTGGTCTTCGCTGGCACTAGAATATGAAACTTCAGAAGGTCCAGTGTATGGTAGTAGAATATGAAACTTCAAAAGGTCCATATGCCTTTCAGCCTCTTCCATCTCTTTTAAAACCTTCAACTAGCCTCTTCCCAAACCATCTTATCTCTAATACTATGTCTTCATCTATCTCTTAGGATGCACAATTGTAACAAATCTGGCATTTTAAAATGATTTGATTCTCAAACCAACCAATGCAGGAAAGACCACAGCCTAACTAAACCCAGAAAACCTCATCCCATGTTCATGTATGTATTTATGTATCAGCAGATCCAACCCCATGTATAGGGCCAATTCTACAAGTCAAAAGCCTATTGATTTTTTTTTATTGGAAACAGTAAAGTCAAAGCCTATTGAACATTCAATTGAACCAATACAGAGATCCATTAGATAACTCATTCTGAAATAAGTACTAATAAAAAATAAAAAAAAAAACTTATTCTGAAATAAGACATCGTGGCAGGGTTCTCTTTCTACTTCACCAAGCATTCATGGCATGTTTTCTAAAACATGGAACATATCCCTTGAGTGGCATCTCCAATCCATTAGGCAATGTCCCAAATCTGCCACGAAATCATTTGTGCAGGCAGTTGCCTTCTCTTAGTATATAGGAATTCTTACATTATTCCAACAATCTCTAAGAATTTCCATGTATCCTCCACCAAGACCCTTATACACCATGGCATCTTCATGCTCCCTTAAAGGTACTAATAAACCCTATATTTAGAGGAGAAAAAACTATAGACAGATCAAAAGTATCTCTAAAGTTTAAATCAGGAAAACGGAATAAATGAAAACATTTTAGAGATGAGATTATACCTCAACCAGGTTATACTTCTCCAGGAGCCGCCTTTTGGGTAAAATGCCTAGCGAAAGCTTCACAGGTACGAGGTATTTAAGGATTAACCTATGTCCATATGAAATCAACCAAAACAATCAGTAAAGAACAGTTAATATATGGCATACCCTATGTTTCAGATTAGACACCATCAGAAGAGTAGTGCAGATACGAACAAATCAGATCCATTATGACTGGTTAATTATAAAACCAGAGATTAACATGCTTATTTCTTACAAAGAAACCATTGCTTCAACACATTGTAGATTTAGAAAGAAGCCGAACTTTAAGAAACATTCAATTGAAGCAATAGCATGAAAATAGTTACAAATGGTAGGAGCAACAATATGTTCCCACAAACAGTACACTTGCAAAATATATGCAGCACGCACACCTGAACCAAACCTTATGTTTGCTTCACGTTGAGGGTCGCAGTGCGTCAAGGCATATGTTAGTTTCTGATCAGCCTATCATGCACAAGAATAACCAACATAAGTAATAGGTAAAGAAAGAATGGTAAAACTTATATGGCTAATTCTTTACATGCTTTTTATGAACATTTTTTTCTTTGAATCCTTAGTGTCATGATAAAGTCTACAATGGAGTATCCAATAGAATTACAAGCTGAAGGGAAAAAATAAATAAATAAGAATGCGTCCAGGTGTATAGTTGAGATGTATTCCCAAATCAGCATCACTAATGTGCAGTTAGGAAGATATGGCACAATTAACCCATTATTTTGCTAAAAAAAACATATTATTTCAAACATTACTTTAGAGAATAAAACATCAAACCTTTTTGAAAAATGTCACGAAGTTTTTTTTCTCACTCAATGAATCAATAAATACAATTTAGGGTATAAGCTGATAATTCTCATGATATTACAGCCACATACTTCAGAATGTTCTTGCAGCCTTGCAGGCCTATATAAGGCTTGGAATGAAATCAATGCATGTGATGCTATCCATTTTCAAGGAAATTAGCTTAGTGCCTTAGTCCCCAAAGTCCCATGCCTTGATCTAAAAGTTCTCTTAGGAAGATTATTACAAATTTCAACCATTGATTTAATGGGGCAAAGGCAGTTTTTGTTAGTTTCAATTTTAGGTACTGAAGTTTCTCTACATGTCTCTTAAGAAGCATATTTAGGGGTGCAACTTTTTTTTGGATAAAGTGAAATTTAGGTTGTGCAACTTGGGTGGGCCTGGACTGATACTTTGTTAGGTTTTGAAGGCTAGGTCCATTGGGGTGAAAATTCTTGAAACCAGGTACCCAATTTGCACTCAGATTATATTATAGAGGAACATGCAACTACCCCTAAGAGGATATATAGCTCATCTCCAGTACAAGATTCTCAGTTTCCTCCTAATCATAGATTCATGGTGTCTCATGGATACATGGAATACATGTCTGTGAGACTTAAATAGATACAGGGGATTAAACTCCTCACACATTTTTAAAAGATGAAAAACAGCAATCATCCAACCACGGCATTGTTTCTATATGACATGTATGCATGTCTAAAAAAATTGACAATTAAAGCATGTTGAGTTAACAAGGATAAACTGGCGTCTTTATTCAAGTTCGATAAAATAAGAAGCACAAAAGAACATAATCATCTAATGAATTTCTTAGGGAGTCAGATTACTCACAGCAATAAAGTTTTCATTAAAAACTTCCAAGCGGCCCGTATAATACATATAAGTGACCTGTGATAAAATAGTGTGAGAATCAAATCATCACAGGAGAAGTTTCTTCTGAGCTATCAGACTCAGTGCCTTACTTTATCTCTTACAGGGAATTCCTCAAAGTCAAAAATTCGAGCAGTTTCAATGCTTCTTATCACACTTCGGCAAAGATGCACTGTACCAAGCTGCAAACTTACAAAACTTAGATTTTGTCATGGACTTTCTGACACACTTTTTCAGAATTTGAAGATAAATAATATCCGTTGCCCATAAAATGGCAATAAAAAATGGGATGAAAGAAACAATGGAATCACCTTAAAATAAACTTTAAATAACTGGCAAGTTACATATAATGCTCCAACTCTTTTGGAGCCTTTCCCCTACAAGATGCAGGTTCACTTGTAAGGAATTAGACAAAGAAGTTAACTCCGATGCACATATAAAGCCAAGAAGAAGCAGCAATTAAAACATGTCCTAAGTGAAAACAAATAAAAATACAAAAAGCTATATAGTGCAGCAAATAGCATGGAGATAGAAGCAACATCTCTTGGTTTACTTTATATGAGACAACAAGCAAGAAATAAAACTTTTTTCTTATGTGAGGGCTTGGTGTACAAATTTATGTAATGGAGCCAGATGAATATAGAGAAACCGGCGAGCATTACATACAAACAAATTGTTTGAAGTTAACTTAAACCATTACAAAAAACTTCTGAGCCGGTCGGCCACAATAAACAAAGCAAATAACATGCTAATCGCTATGGGACATTGGGACAATATTCAAGTGAAGAATCAATGAATTAGGATTAGAAAAAAGCATACAGCAAGAGCCCCAAACACTTTCATCAAGAACGAACCAGCTCCCTTCAGCTTCTCTGGGTTCTTTCCATACGAAGCAAGTTCCTTGTCGGCCTACATCCACAGGGAGTATTCTTTCTTTCTTTCTTAATATAGTTGAAGATCCCGAAAAAAGAATGATGTTAAAAGGAGAGTAAAAGATAAAGATACAGACTGTAGCGTCTTACCCTCTCTGCAAGAACTCTAATTTCGTAGGCAATAACGTACATTGCTTCCATAGCCCACGCAGACTCCCAATTACGGAATTCTTGAAGAAAAGCACTGCAGTTACATTGCATCATAAAACCATAATTTCCTTGACAAACATAATCGACACTAATTCAATTGATAGTGTAGATCCAACAAATTAAATAAGAAACTAACGAAAAAGAAAAAAGGCAGTACTTTGCAGCTTTCTCGAAGGCAGTGTACGCATCAACCAAGTGTTCGATTCTGTAATTCTGCAGGCAGCGGAAAAGAGGGACTAAGATTTCTGCCAGCTGCGAATATCGATCAGACTGTTTGATCAACCTATTTGCGTCCTGCGACCAAGAAAAAGGGGGTTAACACTCGACGTGAGGTTTTGGTACCCTGAGAAGGATAGGAAGATGTATGTGGGGAGTGTTGGAGAACCTGGAAGACGTTGAGAGCGTCGGCGAGGGAGAAAAGAATAGGGGAGTTGGATGAGACGGAGAGAAGCGGCTTCAGTGAGGATCCGTCTTGAGACAACACGGCTTCGGAGAAGCGACTGAGATAGTCGGCGATTCGTCTGTGAGCTTCTCCCATGCTTAGGTATGCCATGTCTGCAACTGCAACACAACGACTATGGCGCAGACCCTCTCTAGTCTCTTCCCCTTTCGACGGGTTTGGTTTTAACTGGTCCGATATGAAGCAATATGTCTCGGGGTTGGTCGGTCGACACAGAAAAGGACCGGGCTGAATTGGAGCCAACTTCTATATGTTTGGTTATATGGGCATTTATGATGTTTATTGCATATGATTTTACTGTTTGTTAAATAAATATTAAAAAATTGAAATGCTTTGACTTATATGTATTGAATATTTGGAAAAGGTAAAATTCATATTTCTCTTATTGTCCGGATATTTCTTAAAATGTAATGCTGATGTGATGCACTTTATTTGAGGTAGAAAGTAACTTTATAGGGTGTTATTTACCATAAACCAATTAACTAAATAGAAAAAGTAAAAAACGTTTAAATAGAATTTTTAAGATAAACATTTGTATAAAAAAATACCTCTAAGGAAACACCCACGAAACCAAACATATTACTCCACTCCAGTCTCCACAAATATATATGGGGTGCCCTTTGTCTTTTTTTTTTTTTTAAAGTCAAATTGTTATTCTCTTTTTAATGAAAATAATATTATCATAGCGTTCTGATGTTTTGTTCTTTATGGTTACAGTTCCACTGTTATGCTTGTGATGCATAGATTTTTTGGGTGCTTCACTCACATGAAAAGTAACAATTCATCCATCATCATTCAATTTTAGTTTTAGTTGTAATATTATTTGTTTATCATATTTGAACATGAAAAGTCTTTGATACCGAAAAAAAAATATGATACAGGAATATCTTTGACCAATCAAAATCCATCAAATGCTATCTGATTGATTAATACGTTTATGATATCAATTGATTGATCACAAATTTTTCAGATATGATGTTTTTCGTATTATAGTTGAACCTGAGTATATAAATACACTAAAAGTATAATGTAATATGTGAGTTTGTGGATGGGCCAGTCGTCTTTGACTACCGGATGGAGATTTCTCCGATGAGAAGCTCGGAATGTGCCAACCTCCCCATTCATAAATAAGGATGTGCAGCATTTATAAAAATTTGAGGTGTGCAAATCATAAAAATTAATTATACCATACCATATAAAGTAGATACTTATCCTAGGTTTTGTGCAAATCATAAAAATTAGACCCAAATATCTTTACTCGTACATGTTTTATATATTTCCCATCAACTCTACTTCTAAACTGGGTTATAAAATCCAATAAAAGATGATCATACAAAGAGATATTCATAAATTCTTTTAAATCCAACCAACCCACCCACATCCATCAAAGCCCGACCAGACCAAACTTGAACCCAAAGTTCGACTTGAGTTGTATTATGTAAAGCTCAAATTGGGCATGGATTGATAAACTTGAATTTGACCTGGAATTAGGCCAGGCCCAAATTCGAGATTTGCACCTTCAGAGTTGGGCAAGGTCAAGGTTGAGGGTCAACCCAGGAGGCCAGGACCTGTTCGCCCGAGTTGCACCTCTTCTTATTCATTTGTATGTATAATTTTACAAAGCTATCGTGGGCCTAGGTGGGCAGTGGGCTTAAGCCAGAAAAGTCCATCATAACAGACCTAAAAGTGCAATACTAACATCACGGGCTTATCCACCACGGATCTATGGAAGCATAAAAGGACAAAAGATAAATTTGAAACTTTGTGCAAATGCTCGGGTTAACCGGTTAAGCCATTAAGGGGTGTTATGTCGTGTCGTTTTTCGGTTTTTGTGATTTAAGATGCCCTTGCCTTGGCCTTTGTCAGCCAAGACCGTGGCCCTAGCATTTACTCTCCAAGGTGGAATATAAGCACCATGTTCGCATCGCAACTCGGCTTGACTGCGTTAGGGTTTCCGCAGGGAAGAGGGAGGATAGACGAGAGGAAAGATGAGTAAAGAAAAGAAGGTCGCCCCGAAGGGAAAGAAGAAGGGAGCAAGCTTCGTGATAGATTGCTCGAAACCAGTAGAAGACAAGATCATGGACATCGCTTCCTTGGAGAAGTTCCTCCAGGAGCGGATCAAGGTCGGAGGCAAGGCTGGTGCTTTCGGCGATTCTATCACCATTTCCCGCGAAAAGAACAAGATCACCGTCACCTCTGAAAATCCCTTCTCCAAGAGGTATGCTATTAGCTTCCTACTCTGGCAGCTTTATTTGTTCATTTCTATCTCCTGGATTATCACCGTCACACTCTCCTGGATTGAGTGTGAATATGTACCAAAGTACTGAAATCTGTTTATTGGTTTGTAAAGTGATCTGAACTTGATCCCTTATCAATAATTATAGTTGGGAAGTTTTTCTTGGATTTGTTTACAAAAGAGACGGCATTGGTGTAAGTAATTGTGCTGTAACAACCATGTCATTCTGTCATTCAATTAATTGGGTTTTAAAATTGATTTTTTAGCAACTAGATTAGTTCGTGGGCTGAAGCAGCTTTCCTTTGTTCATTGTTTTCTGCATTTGCAAGCTCATGGTAGCCTTTCCTGCTGATGCCCACAACCATTGGTCTTTACCGGATGACACAGGATCCTCCATTCATCCTTCGATCGGTACTCCTTACCTTGGAAGTCGCCTTTGTACTGTCATCAGGGTTAAGGGTGACCAGATTACTTGCCGAGATAACAGAAGCCCTGTTTTGCTCTTTTGTGATTCTTTTAACCTAGAACCCTAGAACCGGTTTGAGGCATGCTTATGTGGATCTTCCCTTGGCATTCACCGATGCAAACACATCATTATTGGAAGGGATATGGGAAGCATTGCAAACTCATTTTTATCTTCACATGCTAAAACTTAAAGGTTTAGGTTGGATAGGCCCAGACTCCACATGATAATGATATTGCATATGATTGGTTTATGGAAAAATTAAAGGTTTAGGTTGGATTGGTCCAGACTCTCTGTTTTAATCATTACTCCGTATTTCTTTGGTTGTAATTTGGCATTTTAATTGTTTTTCATTTGATTAATTAACTTTTGGTATGGCTTACCTAGGTACCTGAAGTACTTGACAAAGAAGTACTTGAAAAAACACAACGTTAGGGACTGGCTTCGAGTCATTGCATCGAACAAAGACAGGAATATCTATGAGTTGCGCTACTTCAACATTGCTGAGAATGAGGGCGAGGAAGAGGATTGATAGATTTATCACTTTGCTTCTTTCCTTCTTTGTTTTCTCTGTCAATTTGGTAACCATCTTAGTACATCATATCAGTTTTGCCTTGTTGGGACTACTTAGAACACCAGAATTTAGGTATTCGTTTTTTCTACTTTCAAGTGTTTTATATATTTGAAGAAGCACACAACATGCAACATGTTGGCATGCCAACATCTACAATCTCTCCTCTTGTTTGTCTGAAATCTTGTATGCTTTATCGATTGCAGTGGTTAGTATCTTGTTTGTGCATCCAAATTTCTTTCTCTTGTACTGTCGTAGAGGTTCATCTATTATTCACCGAGCCTTTTTAGGATCAGGGACTTGGATGGTGTTTAGCATCATTATCGCTTCAGCCAACGAGGTGGTAGCTGGAATTGAGAGACACTTTGACATGAAAGTATGAAATCCAGAGCATATGTAGTCTTTCAAACATGTAGGGACCTCTAGGCGCTACGTAGGGCAAACTAAGCAGGGACAATCCAGGATTCAAGAAATATGATTTTGATGTTTCTCATAGCACCCCCTGTGCATGAAACCTGATTCTAAAGTATTTTTTCCTTTTCAGTTTTCAAGTTGAACCTGCGCTACCAATCACCAAATATGATTTTGTACAAAAGTTGAATCGCCTATGGCATTGATGTGGCAGTGATTCGACCTGAAACAGAAATGCTACCAAGTAATCTCGCCCCAGAGCCAATTCCAAGGCTTTACATCCCCTCCATTAAACATCTTATGATCTTACATCCATTGGTCCTCTTTCTTCCAGTGGGAATCCGATCAGTTGAATAGGATTGACGTGTACCTGGATCCAAGTTTTATTTTTTAAGCTAGATCGGATTAATTATCAGACATTGATATTCTATTACTACTGTCATGACTCATGAATAAGTCACCTGGAAGGCTGGAACTGAGATTGTTAGTGCTATGTATGGTATGGTATAGAACTCTGATAATGTCAGATTTTGGATTGGCCCATTGGGGTGGATCCATAAAGATTGGGTTCAGATTGCATTTAGATTTCCACAAACAAATGCAATTTACAGGGAGCCATAAATGACTGTCTCTTTACGAGAAGCTCCACAACGGTTCAAATGAAATGATGCAGTCTTTGTGCAGCCCTGCTACTACTCGCCACATCTATTGGGTCTAGTTTGATAACCCTTATTCATTAAGGAAGGACAGGTAGCCTAACATAGCCTAACAGTTTACAGATGAAAAAGAGAGAAAAAAAAAGTCAAAATGAAACGTGTTCCTCCTAAGTGGACTCATAAAGGTTGAGAAAATTGGGAAAAATTTATGTTGAATGTTGTATTATTATGCTTCCGTCGTCTCCTTGTTGAGTTGTCTCTATCAGCTCCCATGGAGGTGGAGCTTGCTTTGTCAGTGTATATCACAACTGGGTCGTCTGGGATTTTGGAAACCCTTGGGCGTGCAGTGTTTATTAGAAGCAAAGGAAATGAAGATGTAGGTAGATTTGTGCAGGTGGACTACAAATACACGATGCGGGGAGAATGGATCGATGACTCAGCTTCGGTATCGGTATGGTTGGAACTTGAAACAAAGATATAATAACCTCAATGAGTAGAATTCTCAAACGTGCAGGACAGCAGGACTGATTCATTTTATTTGATTCCTGTGTTCTGGTTGTGTACTTCACTACTTTTACTTTGTTTTCCTCACTGGTTTCTGTTTTGTTTGTCTATGCCAATGGTATGGTTTATTTTCAATGGAATTTTATCATAAAAAATAAAAATAAAAAGAAAAATAGTCAAACTGTAATACGTCATTTACCTTGAATAGGGTTCACTGTTTCTGGCAGAAATGACAACAATCGAGGTACCACATGTACCAGATCAACATTGTTCAGGGCATAATTTCAATTCATCCTGGCCTCATCCATGCTCATTTGTTAATGCTCCTCTTTCTCTTCTATTTCTCTTTTTTCTCTTCTTTCCTCTACATGGGTATGTCGCTTTAGCTTTAGGCCTTATTTCAGAGCCACGAGACCCCACGGCCTAGCCCAGTCTGATCAACTCTTCCTTTGTTTTGTGGCTGGTGGTTGGTATGGTGGAACGCGGGGTCGGGTCGGAATGGTGAATATGCTGCCTCAAGGGTTAAAATTTCAGTGTGATTGGATTATTTTTTTAACTGTGAAATATTTTCAATATTAGTATTAAAGTCTTAGGGTTTGTTCATTTATTCTAAAATCTGAAAGTGCAATAATTACATTAAGAGATATATTGGTATTGGTAAACTTTTATTTATTCTAAATTCTAAATGCAGAGAACTTTGCTCTAAATTCTGAATTATAAAATTATCAAATATTCATTTTGACCTCATATATGAGAATTTTTGTTTGGTTTTTGGGGGCATCATTGTAAAACAAAAAGTTGTTTGACTGCACTTTAAGAGATAAGAGATAAGAGGAAATACACAACCATTTCTCTCTTAAAGTTTAAAGATTCCTCTTAAGAGATAAGATTTAAGAGGAAACGAATATGCCCTTAAACTATTAATGCTTTGGCTCCCATCAAAACTTAAAAGCTAAAGCATATTTGGTGAAAGTAATACCAAGGGCCCGTTTCAGATAAGTGAGGTTTCAATGTTTTTGTGTAATATACAATTATACATTACAATGTTACTCAAACAAAGAGAGAGGTAGAAAGAGCACGTAATTGGTGTATGGAAAAGTTATGGGAGAATGACGGTTCAGCCCAGATCAGAATTTGTAAGCCCAAAATATTGTTAGGGTAGGTGCTAGCTCGAAGTTGATGCCAATTCACGGGCACACATTGGTGCATAGATTGTGTGTTGTTGACATTTTTGAATATTTATAAGTCTACAATGAAAATCAGAAATTTGCATTGGACTTGTCCGTACTTTTCCGAAAAGTTATTTATCCAACTTTCAAGAGAGTATAAGATACCTAGCAACTAATACTCTCCCGTATCTTAGCTTACCTTAGAGGCCCAATATAATAATCAATTGTCCATTTGATCAACTTAGCCCCCACTAAATTCATGCAAATCAAAGGGGAGCAAGATGAATGACCATTATGACCCCATGGAAAGTCATGGTTTTGTGAGAAAAGGGTAATTGTCCAAAACCTACCATCACCTTTTATGAATTTTCTTAAATTGACCGTAACTTTTCAAAATGTCCAAAACTCACTGAGATAACTGTAACTTGACTAACAAGCATCATTAATTTACTATTTTACCCCTCATTATCTCTTACTTTGATTTCTTCCTCTTGGATGGCTTTTCCCTTTGCTCTGCCGCGTTCCGCCCTATTCCTATCTCCTTATCTCGTCCCATCTATGGTCTCTCTCCTTTGTCTCCTCCCATCTATCGTCTTTCTTCCTCTTCAATGGGCTTGTCCCGTCAATCGATCACGCACGGTTTCTTCTAGCTTCAGCGGTGCAGCTCAATTCTTTTGCCGTTCTGGAATCGAAGTGGTGGGTTCGATCATGTCTTCGACTATCAATCGTTCACCTTCCAGGCTTTCACAATAACTGTGAAATCGTGAAATCGCTCGAGTGTCGTAGGTTGCTCTTCTACCTTCAACTGCTGCTCTCCATTTTCAGTAACTGTGAAATGTTAGTTCAAGTGCTTCACAATCTTAGAACTCCATCTCAGAAGGCTTAGGACTTTGAGCTGCGTTCTGAACTACTTAGTGAATGAACAAAATAATCACGGTTGCACAGAGGAACGTGTAATCAGGATTATATTCCTATACATCTACCTCCTCTTTTTCAGCTAAGAAGCAATTGGATTAAAGCAGGACGCAAAAGGCGAAACCATTAACACATTGATACATCACCACATCGACAAAACCCTCAATCATCTCTCCGATCACCCTCTCCGGAACACCTCATCAGACTAGAAACTTTTACAGAGCAATCCGATCACAACGGAAAAGGGGGATCGGATTAGATAAGAACAAGGGACTGGTGGCCGACGCGCATCTATTGTCGGCAACTGTAATGGGTGAGAAAACCGGAGATATGATAAGGAATTACCTCTTCTCTGACCCTAATCCAACAGGTGAACAAAGGTTGGGATTCAACCATCACCGGTGGTGGCAGCCTTTAGCTCCCGAGGCCCGAATACGATTACGCTGAAAATACTTAAACCCAATCTGATCGCGCCAGGTGTGGTCTGGTGTGGTAGGTCCAACTGGGTTATCCATGGATTCGAGGCACGTGAATTTCAACAGGTATGTCCTTGTCGTGCCTGCATGTGGATCTCGTATCTGCCCTGGATCCTAATCTCGTCTACGACATCACAATCGATGATGTACACCTCCCTGCAGATTAATAGCGTAGCGAGGAGAAACTTCACGTGCGATGCCACCAAGAAATACAGCGTCACTGATCTCGACTACCCTTCCTTCGCCGTTCCGTTTGACACCGCATAGAGTTGAGGAACTGCCGCTACGACTTGAATCCATGGAGACGAAGTTAGAGACGAAGAATAATGCTTTCGATTGACATTTCAGCTCGATGGAGGTAAGAAAGAGAGAGAGAGAAAATGAGGAACGATGATGGGGAGAGGAGAAGGGAAAGGGGAAGATCGCTGATTGCCATCGCTGTTTGGGACGATGAACAGTAAATTACCCATAAAATTATGTTTAATAAGGCTGATTCAGGGGTATTTTAATCATGAAAATTGCATTTGTGCTGATGTAGGCAATTTCTGTGGAGGAACATTAAAAAACTTACTGATATGGTGAGTGTTAGGACGTTTTAAGAAATTATACCGAGTTTAAAAGAATTCATAAAAAGTATTGTGAGTTTTGGACAATATCCCCCCAAAAAAAGCTTTTAAAACAAGCTTGTTCCTTTCTCAGACAGTGAAGGAAGCAAGAATCTAGAGAATCAGAATTTTGGAAACATTTTGACCTTTGGGCTGTATTTGGCTGCAGTGCACATTTATTTGCGCTGATGCAAAATTATGGTAGTGCAAATTGTTTGGGTATAAGTTTTGATTTATTTTTGTTTTAAATTTTATCTTACTTTATTTATTTGTAATAAAATAAAGTAAAACGTAAAACAAAATTAAATCAAAATTTACATTTTTTTTTCATTTGCACTTCCATACACTTGTACTAATGCAAATAAAATTGCAATGCAACTCGATAAATGTGATCACGGCTTGATCACAGAATATTCTGAGGGTATCTGCACTTCCCAGTGGTTGGTCCATAACATCCAACCACAACGCGCTGTCTTCTCTTACATGTTACATCCATACCTACTGTTCCTTCAACTTTACTTCATTTTGACTTCTTTTTCTCTCACTAATAAACTTTTTTGTTTGTTTTCTCGATGGGATTCTATGCTTTTCTCGTCTATTCTTGTTTGTGTTTGGTATTCTATCATTTAAATAAAAGCACTTATTCTTATACACGATCCCCACCTTTCCACGTGTGAATATAAAATTGGGACCTCAGGTCAGATTGGATGCAGGTTTGCCTTCATCTTAACCCCCACCGACTTGATAACATGTAGTTTTCATTTCTCAAAACTGACCACACCATATAGGATTCAACCCGAATACTAACCCGACTCAACTTACAACACGCTTCCAAAATTCAGTAATTATTAATTTAAGCTGGTATTTGGTTCATGGGTTTGAAGGTACCATTTCAAAACAAAAACCATTTCAATTTAAAATAAAGAAGAAATTTAAACTTTATGTTATCGGGATAAAAGTCATACCAAATGAAAATAATGGCAATGCAATGGGCCAAGATAATGAAACTTGAATCCGAACAGAATCTAAGACTGTATTTGGAATCAATGTAAAATGTCATCGGTGTAAAAATATATTGATGACATTTTATATTGAACCATGAAAATGACTGCTGTTTTTTAAAAAGCATGATGGGTGAAGAGTATAAAATTCACATTTGATAGGTTTTAATCCATCCAAATGTATATAAAACTGAATTCGAGTAGAGATTTATGTCAATCATGATTACACTCTTCTTTTAAATGCTGACAAAATTAAAATTTCAAATATAACCTAAGTGACATCAAAACCCTAACCCGAACTGAACGTTGACTTGGGTTGATGAAACAAAACCCTGACCCAACCTAACACCCAAACAAAACCTGACAAGTTGACCCTAACGGGTCGAGGTTGGTTTACCATTTACCCAGATCCATCGGCATCCTTAGTTATACCACTCACTCTGGCTCTCAAAGATTTGGGAGGGCTGAGGTGAAGATTTAGCTAAGATGGCTTAGATGATCTGAAGCACTCCACATCCCTCCCTAGCTATAACCACCCACTCTGGCTTTCAAGCATAATTGCTTCTGGCTTTATGAGGTGGGTCCCATACAAACAGCTCATAAACTATCTGAGGTGAAAAAACTAGAGGAAGTCAGCTGTAAGTCATATGATAGGCTACCCAGTTCAATTTCTGCATCAATTGTTGAACTTGTAGTTCAGCCCTCTCAAGTCTCAAACGGCCCCGAACAACTGATTTGGGCTATTCGGCTTCTTAAAGACTGTCCGTGTGGGACCCACCTCGGAAAGTCAGAAGTGGCTGCTCTGCAGGTTTCATCCTTCCCAGCTCCCACCCAAACGGGCACTAACTCTCCGTTTCCATCTTTGCACGCGAGATGGAAGAGGCTCGTTTTTGCAGAACAGGTGTCTTCCTATGATTGGAAGAACACGAAAGAGAACAGTGAAGGAAAACAGAAGATCTGTTCGCGGGTCTCAGTCTCCAAATCTGGACCAAAGCCAAAGTCGAAAATCGAAATCTATTTGGTAACTGTAAACTTGTAAAGTGAGCTCACCCATTCAAGCTGGAGCGATAGCAGTCTTAACAAGGTTTAAAGCTTACCTCTGTTTTAAGTGGTTCATTTTTTTGCTGGTAAGTGATTGCCAATCTCTAGTGATCGCAGTGAACAAATTCTCCTCTCCACCTGCTGTTATTTCTTTTCCATCCACCATCAAAATTCAAGAGAACTTAACCTGGATTCAGAGCTCTCTCTTCTACCTTCTTTTCCAAAATAACAGGACGAGGAGGAGGAGGAGGAGGAGGAGAAGCAAAATTTTCTTGAATGGGTACTGCTTCTCTTTCCATCTTAGGTCCATCCAAGCCTACATCAGCAGCAGCAGAGGACGAAGACCCTTCAAACCCATCAACAGCCCTTCTCTCTAACGTTGAATCCTCCACTCCTCCTCAGAATCCTACCACAACCATCCTCTTTGTTACCCTCATCATCATCACATGCTTGTCCCTCCTTGCCTCCGGCGTCTTCGCCTTTCTCTTCTTCTCCTCCTCCTCTTCTTCTAAGTCCTCCCAAGTATTACATAATAACACTGAGTCAACCGCCCGCCCCCTCACCAAGCTTGAGCATCCCGTCGTTCTCCTAATTTCCACCGATGGGTTCCGATTTGGGTATCAATTCAAGACCCCGACTCCCAACATCGGTCGTCTTATCGCCAATGGCACCGAAGCCGAGACGGGCTTGATCCCAGTTTTCCCGACGCTTACATTCCCCAACCATTACTCAATTGCCACGGGGCTATACCCTGCTTCCCATGGCATCGTCAACAACCATTTCATCGAGCCCAGCACCGGCGATGTGTTCTACATGAAAAGACATGAACCCAAATGGTGGTTAGGCGAGCCGCTCTGGGAGACCGTCGTCAATCATGGACTCAAGGCCGCCACCTATTTCTGGCCCGGTTCTGAGGTTCACAAAGGCTTATGGGATTGCCCTGTCAACTACTGCAAAGTCTTTAATGATTCTGTATCCTTCGAAGAACGGGTTGATTCTGTTCTGAAATTCTTTGATCTTCCTAGTAGTGAGATTCCTGATTTTATGACGCTATATTTTGAGGACCCAGATACTCAAGGTCACAAGGTTGGAGCTGATGATCCACGGATTACAGAAGCGGTTGCACATATTGATAAAATGATTGGGAGGTTGATCGAAGGGCTAGAGAAGAGAGGGGTTTTCGAGGATGTCACAATACTCTTACTGGGGGATCATGGGATGGTCGGCACCTGTGATGGGAAGCTCATTTTTCTTGATGATTTGGCTCCTTGGATTAATATTCCCAAGGATTGGGTCCAATCCTATACTCCTTTGCTTTCAATTTGGCCTCCTGCCGGTGTCTCTCCCTCGGATGTCGTCGCCAAGATGACAGAAGGATTGAATTCAGGGAAGGTTGAGAATGGGATGAACCTCAAGGTGTTTCTCAAGGAGGACCTGCCTCAACGACTCCATTACGTGGGGAGCGATCGAATCTCACCTATAATAGGACTAATTGAGGAAGGATTCAAAGTGAAGCAGAAAAGATCGAAGGGAAAAGAATGTGGAGGAGCACATGGGTATGACAATGCATTCTTCTCGATGAGAAGCATATTCATCGGCCACGGACCTCAGTTTGCAAGGGGTCGCAAGGTCCCATCTTTTGAGAATATTCAGATATACAATTTGGTCACTTCGATTCTTAAGATACAGGGAGCTTCCAACAACGGGACAGTGTCATTTCCAAACTCTATTCTTTTACCACCCCCCTGAAATCAATCCTTCCGGCATGTGTGGAGTTGTCAATTGCAACAGGATGGATTGTCACCGTTATGTGTTTTTCTAGCTCAGTTTATCATCATTGCTAAGCGATATTTGTGGAAATAAATAAGACCAGGTATCAGATGGAAGACTGTAAGTAGCCCGGGAACTCCAAAAGATCTGTTCTTAGTTATTGGTAGTTTCATTATGGTTCACATCACTAAAAGTCTCTCACTTCAACCTTCACATTGAATTGTATCTTATACAGGAAATGCTAGAAAGGGACCTAAAATAGATTCATAGTGGTAGGAGTTTTGTAAAATGATGTCTTTTTAAAATATTATGAATGAAACGACCCTCTGGTTATTTTTTGACTTCATATCATCTTTGCTTCCTTAATTTCTACTTCCTGCAATTCCAATTCGAGATGCATGACTGCAAATTGCAGTCAATAGACAAGGATTATTCCAAGTTGTTTGTTGCTTTAGTTATGAGGGCTGTACCAGAGTTACCTTGGAACAGGTTGGACTCTAGATATTTGATTGTTTACATGTTTTTATTAGTAAACCCACTTTAAATGGATTTAACAGTCCAGAGCATCCAAGATATCCATTTTCTACCTTGTGAAGCACAACCCTATAAATTGCTGATTTACCCGATTACTTTTCGAACTTTCCTTCTCCTCAATGGCTTGTTTTTCCTGGTCTATATCTTGTCTTTGAGCTATGTTTTGGTTTATTAAATTTTTGACAACCTCAAAGAAATGGGAGAATGAATAGACATGCATGTACACACTGAGAAATGCACATGATGTAATTTAAGGTCATTGCTTTGATACCAATTTAGGTGGGGGCAACTATGACTGGTGAGGCTAGTAAGGTATTGATTGGCTAGATAAGGTTCAAGGATGATTCTAGAATTAAAGGGGAGGATTAATGGGGGTTAGGAAGGTTATAGGCTAAATTGTTGAGAACTTTAGATTCTTTCCAAGACTGAGAAAATAGAAAATTTTAAAACTAAATGTAGCGATGGATTTTTTATTGAAACTTTGTTAAGAAATTTAGGATGATTGATTGTATGGGACAATTTAATTTGAAAGTACCCTGAACAAATTTTTTATAGAAGGACAACAAAAATCCCTTTTGTAAGAGAAATGATAATGTAGACTCAGACTCTAATTCAAAAATCCAGTGTGCCACATCCAGCAAACAACTAATAATATAAATAGTGAGCATCAATTACCAAATAATTCCCTCTAAATGGCTTCTACAAAATTTTTGTTATCAGCAGACTACAGACCTAGAGGAGCATATTAAATGAAATGAAGTCACAATTAGGGTACCTGGAAGAGCAAATTAAATAAAATGAAGGGAAAATTCCCGATTAGTACCCTGTACCTGTACTTTGGGACTAGTGTCACTTTGGTCCCCGAACTTTAAAACGTGACAATTTATTTCCCGAACTTTCAAAATGTGTCAATCCATTCCTGCTATTAATCAATCCGTTAACCAATTGTTAAGTGGCATTTGAAAAGGCACAAATGCCCTTCGAGTGTCATCTAATTCTCTTTATCAACCATCCAAATGTTGATAAAAAGTAAACAGTCCCAAATCCTTGCCTCTTCTATTCTGGTGACCCCAATTTCTTGAATAGAAGAAGCAAGTATTTGGGACTGTTCACTTTTTATCAACATTTGGATGGTTGGTAAAAAGAATTAGATGACACTCGAAGGGCATTTGTGCCTTTTCAAATTCCACTTAACAGTTGGTTAACGGACTGATTAACAGCAGGTACTGGATTGACACATTTTGAAAGTCCGGGTACTAAATTGTCACATTTTAAAGTTTGGGGACCAGAGCGACACTAGGCCCAAAGTACAGGGTACTAATCGGGAATTTTCCCTTCATTTTATTTAATTTGCTATTCCAGGTATCCTAATTGTGACTTCATTTTATTTAATAATATTCTCTTCTAGGTCTGTAGTCTGTTCATAACAAAAATTTTGTACAAGCCATTTAGAGGGAATTATTTGGTAATTGATGCTCACTATTTATATTATTAGCTGTTTGCTGCATGTGGCACACTGGATTTTTGAATTAGAATATCTGAGTCTACATGATCCTTTCTCTGTTTATTAACAGAATTTCTCCTGCCCTTGACAAATATGGAACTGGGTTGTTAAATATACCAAATGGCTTTGCATTTCCTCTAACAAGTTAGTTTATTTTGACCATTTGGGCAATTAAACACACATGGTATGAGGTAAAAAAAGGAGGAAATGATGAATTTTCTTCTTTATCTTTTGTTTGTGTCTTTGGTGGGAGTTTCTATAATTTAATCATTAATTCATTTTCTAGTTTTGGTCTGCCTAGCCAAAACATTATGGGCCGGGACTGGTTCTGCACATTTACTTGTCAGTTCAGGACTTGATCTAACTGATTAATACATTTACTCAGTTAATAGAGGAGGCTTTAGTAAATATTTGATTAAAAAATGAGTTAATTAATTAAAATAATTTAAGAAACTATGGTAGAGGTGGTTGTCAGTTAATTCGCTTACCAATTTACCATAAAGAGTTTCCTGTATGGCTGACTACTGCTATATGAGCATGCTTCTGTATAACTTATATTATCTCTTAATCAAATTTACCATTTCTAGTAGAAGGAAAAGAGGTTTGCACTTTGCAGTCCTGCCAACGTAATGGTATTTGGATCCATCTGTAGAAATGACTTGGAGGTATCTATAAAGCCTTACCTCAACCATTTTGAGTGGGTATAAGAATCCTGTTTCTCTGTTTCACTCAATTAAGAACCTTCCCTGATGCAAAAATTCTGGATTCCTGTTCTGAACCTCCATTGAAATATCAATTCAGGGTTCATGTTCCTTAAGTGCTTGAGAAAAAAAATATTATATGGATTCCTTAGTGGCACAACTTCCTTTATCTGCACTTGGAACCAGTAATGTAAAGCAAGCTCAAATATCGGTGTGAGTTAAGAGTGGTCACTGCAGCAACATAAAGAATGCAACTGTATCTTAAATGCCTTTGTCATTTCTTTCCTGGAAAAACAGAAGCTCCTTCAGTTAAAGCCTTTGAAAACCATTCCAGGGAAATTTCTAAAGCTGCATATAGTCCAATTTTATTTAATTCTTGTCCTGCACTATTAGGTTATGTTTGGGTTTAATAGCAAGTAATTGAAAGTTGTGGGAGAATCCATAAGGAATTTCGCCTTTCTCTATTCTTTCTACCAAACCAAAAACGGCTTTAGACTTTAGAGGGTTGCTTTTGGACACCCTACCACGAGTATGGAAACACCCAGAGATTTTTATTTATAGGTGTTGAGACTTGAGGTTTAGATTGACTGATTGAGCTCCAGATAAGGATTGCATGATAAAACAACAAAAAGAAGTGGAGGGATGTACATACGGCTGCCTGGTGTCATTGCTCCAACACCAAACCGATGCGACAAATTCAGAGGCAGTTGGACTGGAGCACAACTCCAACTGGATCTGAAGTTATTGACCAGCAACTTGAAAATTTAAATGAATAAATTAGTTATTTTGTATGAATTATGAAGTAGGAAGTAGGAACTATGAAACATATAAGAATTTATATGAAATTGTAAATTACAATTAACAAAACCATCGGTTCTTTAATTGAAGAAACCAAAGCATCTGTGACGTGAACGGGTGATCTGAGTTGATGCCTAAGGCCAATTGTGTCAAACATGGTTGATGATTTGTGAATACCAGGTTGGGCTTGGGTTGATCTCAACCCCACCAAACTGCCTCAAGTAAAATTTCGGGGGAAAAAACAGAGAAATTCATATAGTATCAATGTTATGAAAACTGCTGAAGAATTATTTTCTCAAGAATGGGCTGTTTTTGATATGACAGAAAATAAAATAGAAAGATGAGGGAAAGTTCTAAAGGATTTTTTTTTTTAATTTTTTTAAATAAAATTACTTGAAAGCTTTCCGTCAACATTTTGTTTCTCTCTAATTTTTCTTTCAAACCAAACATAGCCTAAGATCTTGTTTATTAGAATATTATCACATTAAGATCTTATCTCAAGATTATTGGAATATCATGTTAAACTTCCAAGAGAAGAAGACACGTTAGTTGGTTTAGGCTCCATTTGTTTGCAGTGTGAATTTCATTTTGCACTAGTGTAGATGCATACAAGTGCAAGTGGACTGAGTGTAAATGAAAGAGAATTAAGGTAGGAAGAAATGACGCAAATTTTGGACCTGTTTTTGAGATGCAAAAAGTTGTACTGCCAACGGGTGTAAATGAGACAAAAACAATTTTAAGTATAAATTTTGCATTGGGTAGGACCGTAAGAAGGCATCGAGGTTGAAATGTAATATACTTATGATCCATGAATTCTGGTACAAATGGGAAGCCATGCCCATTTTGGTCAGCCTTGTTCAGTGTTCACTTGTAATTCGTCAAAATGCAATATTTCTAGGTTGAAATGGAAATTACAGGGTCTAAGAAATATATTTATGATGATTCCTTTATGCATTCTTAAGGGAAACAGGAAAAAAAATTTCTATGCTCAACTTTCTGATATGGGCCATTCCAAATTCCTAATACTATCTGTGTCAGTGACTTCTATTCGACATGCAATTACACAGAGCGACTCATATATAGTAGATAGGTTCTGTTTCATAGAGAAACAGTCGTTGAATCATAAAGGTAAAGGAATCATCATATGTGTCAGTGACTTGAAAGTATTCTTGTCATTGAATCCGCCCCAGTCGTTGTCTATGCATACATGAAAGTATTCTTGTTCAGCTTTCTTCATACAGACTCGAAATTCTCTCCACTCAGCATTGCACCTTGCCTGAACCTGGATCAGAACCACATTTCAGCTTTTTTCACATACCATCAAAGATCATTATAATTGACAATTAGCCAGCAATGCCACATTCAGTTCTTGCTCAAAGAGAGCAATATTACAAAATACGTACTACAGTGTTTTTCTGCTTTAAACTACACCATCTCTCAAATGTTTTGCTGGGGAGGACAGCCATACAACTAACTGAGTGGCAGAATTCGTACAGAAGGATTTAGTTTCCAATTCCTTCCCATGGGTATGGGACCCTTCCATCCATGGCTTCACCCTGTAAATGTGATTATAGTGTAAAGTGCAATACTGTGCAGTGATTGATAACCACATGGATGAAACTAAAAAATATGCATATACAAGGGCCATGGACACAAACCTGGTCTTTCCTAAGTCTCTCTAGCAGATTAATAGACCATACAGTCTTTAACTCAAATTGCAATCTACCAATGAAGGAGACTGGTTGGTTCTAAATTCTAATCCTGGCTTTCATGTCCCCAAGTCATGTCTCTTGACAAGTCTGACTGTGACATACCTGCTTGCAGAAGCATATGAAGTCAATCATGTATTGTGAACTAAATTCAACGAAATCAACAATAGGAAAGCAATTAATAAATCTTCAACCGTCCCATATAAAAAGATACATGACCATGATATTATAGTGAAGGGGATGATTGAGATATTTGTAACAGTTCATCTAACATTTTCATAATAATTATATTAAGAGGTATATTGGTATTGGTGAATTTTTTGTTTTCTTCTGAGTTTTGAATGCATGTTCTGAATTATGAATTCTGAAAATTATTAAATATTTATTTTAATCTCATATATGAGATTTTTTGTTTGTCTTTTTTAAGAGTCTTATTAAAAAACAAAAAAATGTATGATTGCACTTTTAAGAGAAAAAAGTTAAGAGGAGACGAATAATAATTTTTTTCTTAAAAATTAAAAGATTTCTCTTAAAAAATAAGAGTTAAGAGAAAACTAATAAAAATATATTCGTATGGGGCTCCAACCTGCTAATAGAGTGAAAAGGGATTCAATAAAAGTTAGCAACTTAGCACTTAATTAGCACAGTCCCCTTCTGACAAAAAAAAAAAAAAACAGAGAAAAAAGAAACGAGTTAACCAATACCTCTACTCGTCTATTTACTCGGATCGGTGGCCAAACCCTTTGACGAGTTGCGACTTACGAGTTGGAAGAAACCCTCTTCCCGATCGGTGCAGGAAATAACAGAGAGAGAAGCGGAAATGACGAGCTATTTGTGGAGGAAGTACGCGGATCACTTGTACTCAAAATGGGAAAAGACGTTCCTTTGGGATATGGTCGAGCCTTATAGGCGACCCAAATCTTTCACCCCACTCGTCACCATCTATGTCGCTGCCTTCTATACTGGCGTAATTGGAGCTGCAATAACAGAACAACTCTATAAGGTAATAACATTCTTTATTTCTATTCTGGTTCTCTTTATTTACTTTTCCTATTTATGCCTTGGTTTGATCGAATACCCATCATCTTTTTATACTGCTTCAAACGTTGTTCTTTCATTAATTCAACAGTTTCTTCCTCTCTGAGAACTGAATCATGGGGTTTTCCTTTCGATTGCGTTTATCAAATATCATATGCTTAAAGACTTTCCTAGAAAATATTGTATTATTTAGGTACTCTCTGCTTCTTTTTTGGGTGGGTGGGGGAAGGAGGGGTTGGAGTATATAGCAATACGAATGCAATGGGAAATGTTAAATTATGTCTTTCTTCCATTGTTTGGACAAAGTTGGACTCCTGGAAATGCATCTGATTCCCCTATCCATGTCAATGAAAAGCTGGATGGCGCTTACAGCATATCCTGATGGCATTGTTCTATATTGATGTTAGTTGTCCTTAGGAACTGAGTGAGGCATTTCTCATGCACTTCATTCTTTCAAAATGCAATTGCAGCTGAAGCTGGATGGGTTTGCTCCTGGTTAGCTTTCTGATGTTCCTTCCTTTTTGGGATGTGATGATGCGCGTTTCGGCAACTCCCAGCTGGATGGTAGTTCGGATGCTGAGCTGGTGGCTTCTTTGCTAAGAGGCGATTCAGATGTCGAGTTGGAGAATTTTTTCACCGGGAAATGACTCGGGTGCCGAGCTAACTAGGCCGATCTGGCTGGGTCGTTTTGGTGCCGAGCTGACTAAGCCAACGAGCTATATATCCTTCCGAAGAGCCTTGCAAGGAGGCAATGTCAGAGTGTCCCGGGTTTCTTTACCTGGGGTAGGCACTCCGATGCCTAAGTTAGTGAATCAGAGATTCTATGAGAGAGCTGTAAGTAAAAGAGTTAGAGGGCCGCAAGAGCTGAGTTGTGCATCTTACCTCTCCCCCGTTAGGTTGGAGGTTAAACCTTTATATAGGTGTTGCTTAGCGTGGGCTTCACGCATCGCGTCTGAGTTCTACGGGAGGTCATGCCCAACCGGTCCGAAACCCACAGAGGTAGCCGTACACGTAGGCTAGTCTTCACGCCTTGCTCGGTCTCCTCTAGAACATTCGGTACGGGGGCCAACTTCCAAGAGTCCCGTAGTGACAGGTCGTGCATGCAAAATTGATGGGCGAGCATGTCTCGTAGGTCGCCACCTGGACCTCAATCAGGTCGGCAAGCCCTCGAGGGAGGTCGCTTCTTGCATCGAGGTCATTTCGGCCGGTGACAAGGTACTACAAGTTGGCCTTGGACGAGGTGCTTCTAGACGGCCTAAGTTGTGGTCGAGGTTGCCAGGTTGGCGGCAAAGGCAGGTCGCTAGGTTGGGGCGAAGACGAACCGCGATATGGGACTCCAAATCATCGCTTAGGTGGTGTTTGTGTGTCATCTAGCTGTTCTAAGATGCCATGTGTCATGATGTCATTAGAGGGTCAAATCTGCCCTCATCAATTGCCCCCCACTCCCGAGCTGAGAGTAGCTCGGCGAAGGGAGTACATTGTTCCTTTTGGCCCGAAATGACTGATTCAATAAGCTCGTAGTCGTGAGCGTCGGTCTAATTTGCTCCTCAGGTCGGAAGAGTCCAAGTATTTGTATTCTTACGCAGGACCTCGTTGTCTTGATTAACGGGGCACGAGAGCGAATTCATTCACTCAAGGAGAGGTGGAGCAGGTACCCCGAGGACATTTACCTTACTAGGGATGCAACCATCAAGGAGTTCTGCAATCCGACTAAGTACCTCAAGAGCAAAGATCATCATGCCGTCCTCAAGAGGGGGTTCTAACTGTGTGACTACCTCGTCAGGTCGCTCCACTCAGGTATGCTTTGACGCAATGTCCTTCGAGCCGATTTCTCGACAAAGTAGCTGACGAGGTCGATGCGGAGCCTGAAACCGAGGTAGAGGTTGACTGTGAAGAGATCGACTATTCTGCAACGGTGTTGAAAGCGAACTAGTCTTCCCTTCATTTTTTTCCTTTTTTTTTGAATAAAAATAAATGAAATTTTCTTTTTTGCCATTTTGTTCTTGCGTACAATGAATTTCGCAAAACTTTTTAAGTGTGGGTTGTCCCGAGGTGTCGAGCTCCTAACACAACTAGGCACAGTATAGGGTAACCCAGGATGACTGCCAATACACCATTGGCATAAAGTTGTCCGCGCTGCCCGTATGCTTAGAAAGCGACTGGGTCTTATTTATTTTTGGCACGGAGGTCACTATCGGTTCGGTACCGTGGCCCTTAGGCTTTTCGAGCGACTCATAGTCCACTCTCCCTTTTGCAATTTAGCCGACGTGCGGCCTTGCCAGTTTGCCAAAGCGGATGGTCGTCTGTAGTAGCCTTAAAAGTGGTTGCTTTTATATTGTCACTAGGGATTGGCTTCCCCGAGTAGGCGCTTGCGAGCTCATGGCGTACATGTACCATTGGCTCCTGAAACTACTAGCTGCCCACTCCTACTGGAGTCATGGGAGGCTCACCTTGAGGGGACGGCTCTGCTGTCTACAGGTCGCCTACTCTCGCGGGAACCATGAAGGGTTTGACCTGCGAGGCCGATTCCTCGTTCAGTTCGCTTCCAGCTCTCAAAGGAGCCATACAGAGCTCGATAAGTAGTGAGGCTTCGCAGTTCGGGCTAGGAGACAATTTGGGCCAAATCGCGGAAACTTGCCCGGGCTAGTCGTTCATGTTCTGCCCCCCTTGTATGTTATTGTCGGCATTGGCCGGTAGTTCGGTGTCATGGCTATTTTGCATCAGTTCGCTAATCGTCTACTCATATCGGAGACACAGGGAGCTCAACTTACGGGGGCAGCTCTACTAACTATAGGTCGTCAGCTTGCACAGGAGCCTTGGAAGGCTCAACCTACAAGGGCGTCTGTGTAGTCCGTTGGCCACCAACTCCCGCGGGAGCCACGAAGGTCTCGACCTGTAGAGGCAACTTCATGGAACAGAATTGATGAGGCTTTGTTCGGGCTAACTGTTGTTGAGTATAAACATAGAATGAGTTGAGGTCGGCGAGGCTTCTTCACAGTTTGTTGGCCGACAAACCCCATGGGGAACCACGAATGGCTCAACCTGCGGAAGTGGCCTCACTCTGAGGTGCTTGTCGTCGGATTGCTAGTTGTTGAGGTTGTTCTGTTGCTGTTTATCCTGTGGCGGTATGAATGCACCGAACCGCTCTTCCCGTGCCCACATCTGGAGATCCATGCTTCAGCTCATAAAACTGTCGTGCTTCAATCCCGTCGGGAACCGCTGATGGCTCTACCGCGGGGAGAGGGGTGTTCACATGAGGTAGCGCTGTGTTTATCTGGGGTACTGTAAGTGCTGAGTTTGGCGTGGTTGCTACTGATTGTCACAGGGGGGTTCTTTGCCCCTCAGTAATTAATTCTTGTTCTCGATGTTTCTTGTTCTAGATGTTGGTACTACTAAAAAATGTCATTGATTTAATACAACCGGGAATTAGAAGGTGAAAACTTAGCAATCCAGAATTGAGAATTCAACCTTTTTGAAGGTGAGAACTTAGCTTTTTGCTGTGTTTCCCACAAATGACGCCAATTGATGATGCGCGTTTCGACAGCTCTCAGTTGGATGGTTGCTTGGATGCCGAGCTGGTGACTTCCTTGCTAAGAGGCGGTTCAGATGTCGAGTTGGAAAATTTCCTTGCCGGGAAATGACTCAGGTGCCGAGTTGACTAGGCCGATCTGACTAGGTCGTTCTGGTGCCGAGCTGACTAAGCTGACGAGCTGCATATCCTTCCAAAGAGCCCTGCAAGGAGGCAATGTCAGTGTGTCCCGGGTTTCTTTTCTCGGGGTAGGCACTCCGATGATTAAGTTAGTGAATCAGAGATTCTATGAGATAGCTGAAAGTAAAAGAGTTAAAGGGCCGCAAGAGTTGAGTTGCGCATCTTACCTCTCCCTCGTTAGGTTGGAGGTTAGGCCTTTATATAGGTGCTGCTTAACGTGGGCTTCACGCATTGCGTCCAAGTTCTCCGGGAGGTCGTCCCCAACTGGTCCGAAACCCACGGAGGTAGTCGTACACATAGACTAGTCTTCGCACCTTGCTTGGTCTCCTCTGGAACATTCGGTACGGGGGCCAACTTCCAAGAGACCCGGTAGTGATAGGTCGTGCATGCAGAATTGGTTGGAGAGCACGTCTTGCAGGTCAGGTCGCCACCTGGACCTCAACTAGGTCGGCAAGCCCTTGAGGGAGGTTGCTCCTCACGTCGAGGTCACTTCGGCCGGTGACCAGGTACTACAGGTCGGCCCTGGACGAGGTGCTTCTATCTGGCCTAAGTTGTGGTCTAGGTTGCCAGGTCGGCGACAAAGGCAGGTCGCTAGGTTGGGGCGAAAATGAACCACGATCTAGGACTCCAAATCATTGCTTAGGTGGTATTTGTGTGTCATCTAGCTGTTCTACGATGCCATGTGTCATGATGTCATTGGAGGGCCAAATCTGCCCTCATCACGATGCAAATACATTTTATTCATAGACGGGATGTTTCTTTAGCATATACATAGATGTATATATGTATATATTTCAGATATCTGCCCAATTCCTTGGCCAATTCTCTCATGAGGGGAGTTAAGAGATCTGAGTTGTATTGGGAGCCTTCTCTGCTTTGATTGTTTTTATTGTCAGCTCGTTTTGCACTAAGGTCTAATGCATATTTGAGGCCTATTCTTGTCTTCTTTTTTTGCATTCAGAAGGCTTATTGCTTGCACATGGTTGATTTTCAGCTATTAATTAGAAAAGGTACTTTGCTTCAACTCTGGATCTGCTACAGTAAAATGTGTGCAACGGGCTATGAAATTCAATCAGGAGTAAAAATGTCGGGAGCCTACACAGTCAGATGTACCAGCAACTGACGTGTTTACTCCTGATTGGGTTTTGTAGCCCATTGTACACATTTTGTTTGTAGAAGATCCAGGGTCCGCATCCGCTACTTCATGGGACTAATTGTCTATGAGTAACTTCTTCGTATGCTGTCAAATGTTGTAAAATAGAATTCGAACTTGACAAATGTTTTCTGTTCAAAGCAGCAAGTCTTCCGTAAATTGAGATTTCTGTGTCGTGGTCTTGAGCAGGAGAAATATTGGGAAGATCACCCAGGAGAAGCAGTGCCTCTCATGAAGCCAAAGTTTTATTATGGCCCTTGGAAGGTCCTGAGAGGGGATTTCCTTCCACCCAACCAGTGAACCAGATATATTCAAATGGGATGGTTTATGGATATATTGTTACTCTATGTCATTTACACTAATTAGAAGCTCTGGTAGTATCAAACAAACAAGAAATCAGTCGCAAGTGCCTTGGAATTCAAGTGATGAGAGCAGAATATTGATGTAATACCACTTGCTGCTATTTCATTTGGAGGTAAAGAAGTCCTACCATATGCTGTCATAATGGTTGCTTTTCGGACCAAAAGAGTTATGTTGGAGCTTCATTGGTTGATTTCAGGGGTGTTTGACAATGTGAATGGTATTGTTTTCTAAAACAAAAAGCAATTGCCACATCAGCAGAAAATGTGTGGCAGTTGTTTTTTGTTTTAGAAAACAAAACCAGTACACTGATCAAAAGAAAAACAAAACAAAACAAAACCAGTACATTGTCGAATACACCCTTAATTGATGGAAACCATTTTGATTTTTCAAACAATATCACATGTAACTGCTGTATTTTGTAAACAACCATCTATTATTTATTTGAAGAAGGAAGAAATTAATTCATTACTTGACTTGGCTTCTTTTCTAGAGCACCAATATAAGATGAACAGGTATATATATATATATATAGAGAGAGAGAGAGAGTGTCTCTACTTTGAAGTTGTATGAAGCATATTTTCTGTTGTAATTTTGGCATTTATTCCCTATTCCCTATGCTTGTTGGATATATTATTTAACCTTTGGCACCGAAAGGGGTAGATTGAATTGATCTGAACCAGTTCACCAGTGGATTTATATAAATACATTAACCCAGCCAACCCGACATAAATTCGGGTCAGACTGGATTGGATCAAACCAATTATTTACTTATTTACAATTTTACAAATGGACTTTTCTAGAATAACTGTGTTTGGTTTGAAGGAAAAAGTAAGAAAAGGAAGGAAAAGATAGGAAAACCTTTACAAATCTTGTATAGGTTTTTTTACTTTTCCCTTCCTTTCCCTACCTTTTCCTTCAAACCAAACATTACTTTAAGAATATTTTAGAATGATAATTAATAGCATATGCATTAATTAAACACAAGGGCAAAATGGGTAAAATAGAAAATATGAAAAAATTTTAGAGAGTCAAAGTAAAAACTATAAATAAGTCCCTATAGAGACTCATTAACATGATTTTCATTTTAACCCCATTATGGAGAAAAGGTTACCCAAATTCTCTCTCTCTCTCTCTTATTCTTCTTCACCCTTCTGATCATCAGAGTTAGACCATCCTCATCCTCAGCATTGGGCTTACAGTTCCAACTTCTAAGCCAAGTTAAAAAAAAAAAAAAAAGTTTACTAACAAATATGCACATCAAAATGATTTGGTGATCGAAAGTAAAATCCTTTCCAACAGTAGGCTTCAAAAGCCCCAACTCTTAACATGTTGCCTGTCTTGCTGTCTTCCATGTGTCCTGCTAGTGCTGGAAATTCAACAAAATAAACCACTCTTCTCTTTTCAATTTCCCGGAGGACAATCGGAGGTGGTGGCCACTGGCCAGATGATAATTACTGAAAAGCTCAAAAGCCTCAACACTTGAGGTCTTGAGCTGTAAACGTTTCTGTCAGTGGATGTGTGGATGTGGGTGTTAAACGGGTTGATGGGGGTTAAGTGGGTTAGTTGTAGCTCAACCCACATGCATGAGCATCCACCCAAATTAACAAAACACCTTTAGATCAAGGGAGGCCGCCCTGATACTGCTACACTAGGCTGTTATTGGCTTGCTGGGCCTTCCTTGTGAGTTTGGGACAATCACCAAGAACAAGTGCGAAACAGTTTAACCGACTCGATATGCCTGGACTATTCATTCAGTCGGCCCCACATTTTGGGCTTCACCTGTTTAACCCTTTTCTCCCCCCAAAAGTCTCTTTTACAGTCGACCCACCCCACTTTTCAGGGTATCCCCATCTCCGACATGTGCTGCTAAGTGCTAATACATGGATACCAGAAACACTGAGAGTCTGAGGCAGAGGGTGTCTTGATAGTTTATATTGGATGTGCTTCTCTAGTGGCTTTGTTGTAGGCCGCGACAAATTTTCAGAACCGTGTAACTGGAATCCAGTCAAAACCCCATATTTGATCTAGACACTCTTGATTTCTGGTGTCGTTTCTCCTTTGTTTGATTGGAATCATTTCCTCCGTCTCCCTCTGCTTCTGGAGGACATTCTTCGACCCCTTCTGGAAGATCATAGGGGGGCCACGTGGAAGCCCAACGCTCTCATTTCATTTCATGCAGCCTTTTCTTCCAGCTTTCCCACGTGGCCATGCCAACCGGCTTTTTCGGTATGGCGTTGTCTCTCTGTTCTCTTCTCCAATTTACGTCGTCGTCCCCATGACGCTTTCGCAGACCTTATCTCCTACCAGCTTGCACCGGAGCGGAGTTGTTGAATTAATACCTTATATGTTATTGTAGGATTTCAACGCTTTATGTGTCAAAAGATTTTTGTTTTTTTCGTTTCAAACATTATCATCTCACCAGAACATCGATCAAAGCCGTTCAATCATAGGACCTAACGTCTGGAATTCGACCAGATACTCCACCGACTGATGAACAGATCTTTTCGCTTCCGAACGATGGATAAAATGCGGTACTATAGATCTGACGAACTACTATACTTAAAGACTTCGGAGTTATTGACACCCTGGGAGTGGGCCCACGAACGACAGAACTGAGGACTGACGTCGTGTAGGGACCACTAAAGGATGATAAGCCCAGGATGCATCTTATGCTTTTTCCCTCCCTTCAATTAATTATAGGCCGCTCTTCTGGCCAGTTCGTGACCAACTGACCATCAAACAAAGAGGCTCCCAGTCTCTTTTGCATCGCTTCCACCGGTCATCGGCCGGCGCGCATGCTTCCTTTTATAGCAGCGGCAAAAGGTGAGGCCTGAGGATCAATTTTCCCGTGAGATCACCGGAAAATGACGACGTATGGGACGATACCTACGGCATCGTCGTCTCCGGGATCAAGCAGTCTAGGATACATTTCTCGCGCAAAGGAACGGATAGTATCGGGCCTGGGCACTCGGAGGCCATGGAAAGAGATGGTCCACCGGCACGCAATAGGCATCCCGGGCAGCTTCCCAGAGGCCGTCGGCAGGGTCAGAACCAACGTGGGTTACTTCCTCATGAATTACGTGATCATCGTGTTGGTGGTGCTGTTTCTGAGCTTGTTATGGCATCCCATATCGCTGATCGTGTTCGTGGTCATGATGGCAGCCTGGTTGTTCCTCTACTTCCTGAGGGATGAGCCTCTAGTGATCCTGAGCCGTACGGTTAACGACCGTGTGGTGCTGATCGTGTTATCGATTGTGACCATCGTGTTGCTGCTGCTGACCCACGCGACACTCAACATTCTGGTGTCGCTTTTGATCGGAGTGGTGGTGGTGTTGGTTCATGGGGTTTTGAGGAAGACGGATGATCTATTTGGGGACGAAGAGTCGGCCAGGTCGGCTGGGCTATTGGCTACTGGGGATGAAACCAAACGCCCTCTCCAGGAGACTTCGTCTTCTTCCTCTTAGAACCAATTCAACGATCGAACACTTTTCTTTATTGATAACGGGGAAGGTTTATTGATTTGGAGCTTTTGTGTTTCAGTTTAAAGCCAGGTTTGAAAAAGAAAGAACTTTTACTATTTTCTCCCCTTTTCCCAGATTTGGGAGTTAGAGTTCATTGTTGACTGTAAGCTTTGATTGTTTGTTGCTTGTTTGCTTGTTAGTTGAAGTTCTCTCTCTCTCTCTCTCTCTCTCTCTCACAGACTCTCAGTCGAACGAAGCGTATTGTGTATTGTGTAAAAGTTGGTTGGATTTGAACACGTTGACCAGATTCCGCCTTCTGGGAAGAGGAAGAGAGCATGTGGAGTTGATTAGGTGTTTAGTAAATAGTATTTAACTTCCAAACATGTATTAGCTAAAATCCAGCCACGTTCCGTGCTATGCGCAAACGACACACTGGCGTGCAACGCTTTCCAGCACCACGGGCGAATTATTACAATGAGAAACCAAAACGAAACCATTGCATTCGCGAATTCGTGGTGGGTTTAGATTTTAGTACGCCCCACAGGCGTATTTCAGATTCAGTCACATCTCTACATTATAATTGCACTGGCAATGAACAAACATGGCCATTAGATCGATTTCGTTCTAAAGAAAAGCAGAAAACTATGATAACAAGATTTTCTCTTTATTTCCTTCTAAAGAAAAGGGATGTCTTAGCCCAATTCCAAACTAATGTCCCTAAAACCAAGGCCCAAGTTGTGCGTTACAAAAAAAGAAATCTAATTCCCAAGCCCAGCCCAAGTTCTATGTCGGCTGGGCTGAATTAACGCAATACAATGGGCATCGGCAAATTAGTGGGCCTTCTGTCATCGTCTATGAGTCTATCCGGGAAAGCGGACCGAATGCAATGGAATACGTAGACTTACGTTGAAACGTTCAATTGCGTGACAGTTCCGGGGCTCCTCTTGGCCACATCAACAGATCAACTAAACTTTACCATTTTGCCTTGGCTTCACGTCTAAGACCTCCATCAACTCTCTCTCTTTCTCTCCCCAACAACAAAAAGAAAGAAATGGGCAATGGGCCCATGGTAAGGCCATAGTTGATAGGTGCGGATTTGTCGTATCTTAGCATGGGGAAAATCTTAGTGGTAATAGCATATAAGGGCAAATTTTGGGATTAATATCAATAAAAGTAATATTTTAAAAAAAATTAAAAAATAGGTTAACTTTTTTAAAATAATATTAATAAAGGGTAAACACTGTTCATCGTATTCTTTTTGTCATTTGTTCACCAGCAGCTGTTTGCCGTCGCCCGCCACTGCCGCCGCCTGCCTTCGCCTCCGGCAACGTTGCCAGAGGTGGCGGCGGACGGCAGTGGTAGGCGGTGGTGGATAACGATGCTGGTGAACAAATGGCAAGAAGAAGATGATGAACAATGTTTTTGCCCTTTATTGATATTATTTTTAAAAAGTTAATCTATTTTTGAAAATTTTTTAAAAATATTACTTTTATTGATATTAAACCCCAAAAGTTGTCCTTATATGCTAAATAAAAGAAATGTTTTTTAAAAAAGTATTAATATCAGTAAAAGTAATATTTAAAAAAAATAAAAAATAGATTAACTTTTTAAAAATAATATCAATAAAGGCCAAAAGCACTGTTCATCATCTTCTTCTTGCCATTTGTTCACCAACACCGCTGTCCACCTCTGCCCATCTTCGCCTCCGTTTCCGGCAACGTTGCTGGAGGTGGCTAGAGGCAGAGGTGGTGCTGGTGGTCATTCCTTTGCCCAGCGCCGCTGCCGCCACCTCTGTCTCCACCCACCTTCGGCAATGTTGCCAAAGGCAGAAGCGGAAGTGGGCAGAAGTGGCAGCGGTGGCGGCGCTAGTGGTCATTTCTCTGCCCAACGCCACCACCTCCGCCCCACCCCTGGCAACGTTGGCAGAAGCAGAGGCGGCAACGAGTGGCGGGCGGCAGTGGACGACGATGTTGGTGAACAAATGGCAAGAAGAAGATGATGACAGTATTTTTGGCCTTTATGGATATTATTTTAAAAAAATTAACCTATTTTTTTAAATTTTTAAAAATATTATTTTTATTGATATTAAACCCCAAAAGTTGCCCTTATATGCTATTACCCCTATCGAAATTCTAAAGGACAGTGGGACCCACTTCTCTGTACAAATGACGCTACAATATAGCATGAAGGATGAGTTCATGAAACCGAAACGGCAACTGACTGATTACTTGCAATGGAACACCTTGAGCTCACATCGCGGTGACACCAATCGCAACAGCAACCGTGCCGTGCCTTCTTGGCCCACCACTGCTCCTTCCTTCTCCACCAATGCCCCCGCCACGATCTCCTCATATCCGCCACCGCCGCCGGCCGCCACATACGCAACCAACGCCGCTTGCACCGGCCCAAAGCTCGGATTATACGCGGCAGACTCTGTGTACCACCCTTTGTAAATCCTCCCCTCCGTGTCCATAAGCGCCGCCCCGGACGGGCACCCGCTGTAAGGCGCGTGTGACTCGTTAGCAGCTTCCAGTGCTGCCAATTTTAGTTTGTCTTTCTTCTCCTCGTAATCTTCTGCCATGACGTCGCCGGTGGTCTTGATACTACTGTGGTCGTCATTGTTGAAGGCCAAGCCATTATGACGAGGCTCTAAAAGCAAAGGCACGTCCTTGTTAAGCAGGTCCTCAGGACCGAATCGATGAGGCAAAAAGTCGGATATCGGCCGAAACACAGCTTCTGCGTCTCTTCCGTGTTGGGTGGTGGAAGTGATCAAGATGTTAATATCGGATGCGTTGCGCAATTCTTGCATGAATTGGCGGCAATGGCCGCAGGGGGCGGAGGAGCCGGCGATATAGCGGAGTTGGGTCTCACCGTTGATGGCGGCGTTGGTGATCATGAACTGCTCAGCGTGGACAGAGTGATGGAGGGGGAGGCCAGGGAATTCGAGGTTTACGCCGAGGAAGATGCGGCCGTTGGATCCTAATCCGGCGACTCCAACGGGGTATTTGGAAATGGGGGGCCTAGCTAGGCTTTTCGCGGATTCGGCCAGTGATGCGAGGAGTTGCAGGACAGAAAGCCCCGACTCCTTGGCCATGGATTCCACATCTACGGCTTCAATAACGAATTGGGTTTCCTTCATCTTTCTTTGTTGTTTTATGAAAGATTAATGAAGTAAAATGGGCTTAAATAATGGCCGCTTCGTAATGGCTCAAAGAACAGAGACGGACAGAGAGGGGGAGAGAGAGATGGGTTGGGCAAGAGAGAATGGGAAGGGAGTGGTACTTATAATGGTTTGTATGAATCAAAGTACTTGTGAGAAAAGGAGAAAGAAGACTTGTTTGGATTGGACATGGTTTTGTGTTGGATTATTTTATTTATATAAAGAAGGCTAATTGATTAGGGGCTGTTCTGATTTCTTACTTCTGAGTCATGTGGAAGCGAAAAACAAGGGATCGAAATTGATCGTGGAGTGTTTTTGCTTTACCTACCACCTCGTTTGTTTGTTTGTTTGGATGGTTGGCCGGTCGGTCGGTTTCTCTTCAATTATTTTGTGCATCATCACTTCAATAATCTAGAACGGGTAACTCATGGAAAAGGTTATCTAAATTAAGCTCGGTTTTAACAAATATTGAAGTGAAATGACATGAAAACTGTGAGTCTGTGACACGTTTTATTTTGGGTTTAATTAATATATTATTGCTTCGTGGGGGTATCCCAACCCTGGCTAGAGCGAGATTTGATCCAAAGTCTTTGCTGCAATGCAACTGGTCAAAGATTCTATAAAATTATTGTATATTTTTATTTCAGTTTTGAAATATGTAGGTAGATCACGAAAAGTTATCCGTCAAAATAAAAATTACTCAATTGGACAATTGAATGAGTCAGGCTGAGACGAGTATAAATTGTAAATTGTAACCCTTACTTAACTAGAGGTGTAAATGAGTCATGTTGAGACGGGTATAATGATGCTCGACCATGTTTCAAGTTTCTATCTTGAACTAACTCGAGTTGATCTCATGAGCTACTCAAGCCCATTATAAATTAATTACTATTAAAAATTATAAATAACAATATTAGGAAATATGAATATATATTAAAAATTATAGATAATTTGATATTATAAATACTATAAATAAAAAATATATTATAAATTTATCTTTTTTATAAATACAAATGTATAAAAAATAATATTTTATTATGTGTTTGATTGGGTCAAGCAAGTCAACGATTTACCCAATAGTTAGTTTTAGTGGGTTTTGATCATATCAATGGTTTTTAAGCTACTGACAGGTTTGAGGTTGACCAATATCAAAACTATATCGTCAAAGGGGTATTCTTTTTTTGGATTTTGAGAATGGGGAAAATTGGTCAATGGGATTTTGGTTCTCATTGACCAAGAATCCCATGTTCATTTTTCAGATTTATGTGAGGACCAGCGAAAGTCTACTTTCCTCGGTATCACTTACCCATGTCCTAGGTGGGTAAATAATTTTCCCACCTTGGGAAAAAGTTACTAACACTTAAAATGGGACAAAAATGCCCCTTTTAATAATAATTTTTTAAGGCTAAAATGGTCATTACTTTGTTTATCTAGGAAATAAAAGAACAGGTAAGTGTTTCATAGGAAAAACTTACCCAAGTAATTGCATTTACCCGGATAAATAACTTACCGAAAAGCAAACGAGGCCTAAGTGACATTTTAAACGTTTTAACAATTCGATCAATTGGGTCAATGATGATTTGCAAACATTGCCTCGCAATAGGGGGGTTGGGAGGAGATTCACTAATTTAAGACTTAAGATCTAGTGATTGCTTTGGCTTCAAAAAGGAAAAAAAAAAGTAAAATATACAAAGCTCCCCTATGGTTTCATTTTCACAAAAACAGTCATGGATAGAAAATATGGTCTAACGCATTAGTTTGTCAAAAATATCCATTTTACCCTTTCATCTATCAATTTACATGAAAATTACCTCCAAAAAGATTTTTTCGCTTTTAATTATAAAAGATCTCTGAATTAGATTGGAAAGAATAAAGTAATTTTATTATATAAAAACGTTAAGTATAGTGAAATTTAGAAAGAAAAATCTGACATTTTAAATCATATTGAAAGATTCTTAATAAATTGTAAGGGTAATTTTATAACTTGTAAGTTCTCATTTTAACAACAAAGATGGAAGGAAGGTAACTACAGGTTTTTGGTAAATTAAAGGGGTGGTTTTATGAAAGTGAAACCTCAAGAGAGATTTTTATGATTGACAGAAAATTTAGAGGAGGTTTTTATATTTTACCCAAAGAAAAAAAAAAAGGGATACTAGCGGTTGCTTTGTGGGGGGTGCAATACACTACAAAAATTACCGTTTCTAAGGTAACCAGAAAGATTAAAACACATTTTCAATGGATTGGAACTCTCGAGACATTAAATTTTTGTACGGGTCGAGTATCCATACTTTCAACTTTCATTTACACACACTCAATTTATGGAGTTCAAATCTGCGCACCACAAGGGGGCGCCCCACAACATCCCACAACACATCCTCACCGTGTATTAAGAATATCTCCCAATCATCAGGAGATGTTCCCAATATAATGCATTTGGAGATGTTCCCAATACACAACAAAGATGTATTGTGGGACGTTGTGGGGCACAGATGTAAATTCTAATTTATGAACTGGGATGTTCCTGACCCAATTCAATTTAGATTGAGAAATCAAGATAATAATCATAATACAACCTATAATTGCTTTAAAACGAAGATAAATCATAAATAACCTACAAAGACACTAGAAAACGATCCTAACTCATAGTAAACTCTATCAAAGCTTTCTAAATCTCATTTAAACTAATTTAATTTAAATACACAAAAATTATTTAAAAATATCTCCATCAAACTCAAATGGGATTCCACTTGTCTTATTCGATTTTGACAGCATCATCTATTTTATATAAAGGGTTCGACTATGATATAGAAAATATATGATATCAGAAAAACAATTCATCAATAAATTGGAATCATAATCGTGATAATGAATCAGGTGTCATTTATCAAAATTCATGGGTAAATTATGATTGATCAAAACTCTTTCTTTATCATATCTTTTCTATATCATAGATTTTCCCTTATATAAAATATATAATTGCCTCAATTCTATACCGATCACAAACGCTAAATGCCCTAAATGAATTTCACCATGCGGGGTTGAGCTGGGTAAGATTTGACTATGACCAACCAGGAGGCTAAGACTTAAACAAGCAAGGTCCAATCACGGACCCAAGTCCCCAATTGACCTAGAATTCGCTTTTGCTAGCCTAAAAAATCATGGATTTAGATTTATTATTATGGCCCCACAAAGAAGTTACTTTATTTAATTTAGAGTGGGGTCATTGCTTTCGATTTTTGTTTCAGCGCAGCGCTAAGATACCGTTACTGTTGTAGCAAAAGTGGCATGCGCTTAACTAGAAAGGCGAACTTGAAGAGAAATCAGCTATGCCCAAGGGTGTAGATAAGGTTTTTAAAATCGAATTGGATAGAGAACCATTTTGGGGATTGGTTCTTGGGCCAAACAGTCTCGGTCTGAACAGATGGTCCATTTTAACAAAATAATAATAATAATAATAAATTAAAAAAGATGAAAACTCATTATTTGGATCAATGGTTTGACCATCTAAATCAATGGTTCATTGACCTAAAAAATTTTATGGATCATTTCGTATTATTGATCCAAATAATAATACAGTAGATGGTCAAAATTGAACTCCACTGTAGAAAACGACCACCTAAAAATTTGCACTCCATCTAAATGACCACCTAAAAAATTTTGTTTCCAAGTATTAAATCTTCTTGTGAAGTATATTGCACTCCACTGTAGAAATCCTAGATTACAGCCCCTCATAGTCTATTAGTAGTCAATCTGTCTATAAATTTGACATTGATTCATGGTCGAGATTCATCTCATCTGTATGGTGGGATTAAAAATTCTAGCATAGGCTGAACAGTCATTTTCCCTAAATTTCTTTTACCCTATCAAAAAGGATGGTAGATGGTGACACCCTAAAATGTTTGCTGCAAGCTTGCAACTCTTGCAAGGTATAGCTTTCTTGTTGTATCGGAAACCATCAATCTATTTATTCTAATTTTCTAATTGACTATTCTGCTATTTTTTTTTTATTATTATTATTATTATTTTCTGAGTGAATTGGCTGATTCAACGTGGGGTTCCATTCAAGTATCCAACTCACATTTGATTTGGACTAAAGAACATCGGCGGGCCCATCCAGCAAAAGAACAACCAATAACTCGCTGTGTAGGTGGGATGATGGGGGATTGAGCATTCATTCATTGTCTCCGATTCAGATTTAATTGTTTTAAAGTCTTGAGTCTTGTGAGAAGATTGCTTGGATAACCATTTGACTATTTGCTACTTGTGACTGGAGAGTTTTGATGGGGAAGTAGGATGTGTTTGGATAAGTGATCCTTGTTATCGCCAATGACCACCTCTCAACTCACTTGTTATTTTGTTTTTATGGGTTTCACTCTTCAGCGGTAGAGTATCGAGGGCTGGCTAGGATTGGCCGATCTGATCGCCCCTTTGTGGAAATAAGGCTCAATTTAGAAAGAGTGTAAATATAAATATATACAGTATAAATACGTAGAAAATAATACAAATACAAAAACACTGACCATCATAACATCATTGTGACAAGAAATATCAGTCATCTGGATGATAAGGTTTTGAATCTATGCCACTTCTCGCAGGTCCAGCCCAGAGCCAGGGTAATTAAGTTCGTAATCTTTTTTTTTTTTCTTATGTTTAATGGCTCATTTTATAAAAAGTATCCATCATTGGTGACTTGGGCCCATCTTAAGAGTAGGATGGGCCTCTACGTGAGGCCAAATAAGTCAGCCAGGCTATCTAGACTAAGGTCGTGTTCTGTTCGTGCGGGCTTTCGGCTGTTTAGAAGCTCAAAATCTTGATTTTTGGGTTTTTCCTATTTGATAAATGATAGATCTATTTGTAAAAAGACGTAACCCACAAAAGATGCGAAAAGCTCAAATTTGGGCTTTTTCGGGAAGCTTCAAATGAAGCTTTCGCAATCTTCTGTCTTCTTTAAACGTGTGCCACAATGCACATGCTTCTGACAAAATATCAATCATTCGATAAAAACTCTAAGATGTTTTGGCCCTAGCTTTCAGCTCCGCCATTATTGACCTGCATAATATTCTCTTCTTCTTCTTCAAGTGTCTTTTTGCTCTTTTTCTTCTTCATGCAGGCTAATCTTTCTCTCCTATTTGCAGGTATACCACTAGGGTAACTTGCAACGATCGGAAGTTTGAAAA